AGTTCAATTCCACATTGTTGCAAATGGCAGGATTTTATTCTTTTTCATCACTGAGTAATACTCCATTGTGTATATATACCACATCTTCTTTATCCATTCATCAGTCGATGGACATTTGGGCTCTTTCCATACTTAGGCTATTGTCAATAGTGCTGCTATAAACATTGGGATGCATATGCCCCTTTGAAACAGCACACCCGTATTCCTTGGTAATGCCTAATAGTGCAATTGCTGGGTCGTAGGGTAGTTCTATTTTTAATTTTTTGAGGAACCTTCATAGTGTTTTCCAGAGTGCCTGCATTCCTATATTTTACTTTGGTTTTTAAAGGCATCTTGCTGAATATAGAATTTTGGGTGGAAAGTTAATTTTATAGTGTTGAAGATCTCATTCTGTGTTTTGACTTCCATTGTTTCTGTTTAGAAATCATTGTTAATCTGTTAATTGTTTGAAGCTAATTTGTCCTTGTTTTGGATACTTTTAAGATTTTTATATTTGTCTTTGATATTTTTGTAGTTTTACTTGGATGTATCTGGGTGCTGATTTCCCTCTATGTATCTGCTGCTTAGGCTTCTTAAATCTAGGGATTGGTGTCTTTTATCAGTCCTGGAGAAATCTCAGCTTGTATCTTTTCAGATAATGGCTCTGCTTTGTTCTTTCTCCTTTCTCATTAAGATTTCCATTAAATGTATGTTAAACCTCAGTCATAATTTTGCCTCTCTGTGCTGCATTCTGTGTAGTTTTTTTCTGATCTCCCAGTTTATTAATTCTCTCTCCAGTGAATTGTCTCCTTTAAACTTTTCTGTTAATTTTTTAGTTTGTTTTTGTATTTTCAGTTCTGTGAATTCCATTTGCCTGTTTGTTATTTGTATTTGCTCCAGGTGTTTTGAAGCTAGTCTTTTATTTGTTTAAACAAAGTAAGTGTCGTTGTTTTATAGTCTCCAGTCTAATTAATATCCAAAGCATTTTTGAGGCCGATTTATTTTATTTTTTTTCCTGACTTGTTTCTGTTGATATTGTTTCATAGTCTTTTTTCCTCTTTATGCCTAGCTTTCTTGATGTATTGGTCAATGTACTTGAATAAATTATTTTTTGGATAGTTTGAGGCTTGTATGATGAAACCTTTCTCCAAAGAAGATTTTCATTTGCTGCTGCAAGGCACCTAGGGGAATGTATTAATCTCCTTAATCCAGATCCAAGACTTGAGGATTCTTGGTTCTCTGTGGTAATCTATGTGAACCCTGATGGCAAGTCTGCGAAGGGGCTGATTTAATTCTAGTGCAGTGTTACTCTGAGGGTGCCACTTTTTGGGACTGTAGCTTTTTAAAAAATCAGACCTTCTCTCTTGGGCACACTCTTAGATTTGACTCTTGATTTGCTCAGCCAAAATTTCTCAGCTCTATCTTTTGGACGGCAAATGATCTTAGGGCAAAAACAGGTTTGGAGGCTGGGTTTACTTTGTGTTCTTGCCTTCTCTAGATTTTAGATTTCACTTTTATTGGTGCCTCTTCAGTGCTTGAAGGATTTTCTTTTTAAAAATATTTCAATCAGGTTTATCAGTTGATCTCAGCAGGAATTTGCCTTTATCACAGAGGCTATTTCTTTTTTTCTTTTTTAACTTAGAGGTATTTTTGCTTGGTTTTCTTGTGTTCTTTTCTGAATTATCTGTTTTATTCTAGGGTTTTTTTTTTTTTTTTAATAAATTTTAATTTTTCCTTTCTCTCTAGTCTGCCCAGTAATTTCCATTCCGTTTAGGAATGAGGTAGTTAAGAAGTCTGTTTGGAAGCTGTGTGTGTGTATGGGAAGGTGGTTTTTGCCTGGCACTTTTACTTTAGGGTGGGCTGGGGTGGGACCAGATATTAAGCTGGGGTCCGGAAAGCCTTACTTTGGGGAGCTGGCATTTTCAGAGGCTCCTGTAGTTCTTCAGGTAATTCATTTAGTTTATTAGAAGAGAACCCCTGATTTTTTCCCATTTTGTTTTCTGGTAATGCTCCATGCTGGAAGGGTTGTAGGGAGATGGGGCCAGCTGTTTCTTGTGTAGACCCTCAGGTCACTAACCCTTTCTGACCTGTTTCTTTCTCTGTCATTCCTGGTGTCTGAGTCTGGCTGGAACTTCCCCAAGGGTCTCCTAGGCGATGGGCTCCCACCTCTGTTGCCCCCCTCTATTCATTCTAGGCTGATTTGTTTTTCTATTTATAAACATACTTCAATCAGATTTCTATTCAGCTTTTGTTGAAATCTCTTAACTGCTGATGGGCCCCATTCTTTATTGTAGATTTATACCTTTTTAAAACCTTTTATTTCTTTTGAATGGAATCTTGAAAGGGAGGGCATACAAATTTGTGAGCTCAGTCTCCCATCTTGAACTGGAAGTTTCTCAAAAGGTTATGAACTTTTTGCTTAGAAAACTTTTCTCCTTTATTCTGTATTGATCACACTTTGTATGGAATCCAAAATGCTCATTAACTAACACAACAACTTCTTTGCTCTGTTCCCTACATCTCATTCTAACTCTCTAGACCTGTGTGCTTAACTCTCAGCTGCCCACTTTCTGTAGTGACATGTTCTTTCTCTGAGATCTTTTGGATGGATATTCCCCCAAATGAGTTATTTGATCTTAGAGAATTGCCAGTACCAGAGCAGCTTCTACTCTAACTTTGCCCAGTTTGTGACACTCATCCAGTTCTTGAGGCACCTTGCTTTACATGTTGCTCTTTGTTTTTGTTTTTGTTTTTGTTTTAAAGGAACTTTGGATTGATTGCTGAGCTGGGCAGTTTTGTGAGCCTTTGGATTGATTGCTGAGCTGGGCAGTTTTGTGAGCCTTCACCTGCGTCCTTTGGACAGCCCCTCTCCTGCAGGCCTCATCTTTGAAGAACGGAGTATTTGGAATATTGTACTTATATGCTTTTCCTGTCCTACCTTCACCTAAGCCGAGATAAGCAGAGATCTCACATGTTAGCTTTTCTCTACAAGGTCTTCCACCTACTGTGTCTTCCATTTAGGCTTGGATGCAGCCTATGCTGTTTGAGGCAGAGAAAAAGAAAATGATTTGTGTAGGTTGCTTAATGAATGATGAGGAACATAATAAAGGTTTCTGATCAATTTCAACATAGTGTGTTTTATAATCTTGCCTTTGTCCTTGTCGCTGTGACCAGAGGACCACCATGCCCAGTTACAGATCTTTCTGATCTTCCTTGCCAGCTGTTCTAAACCTCATTCCTTTGATTTATTTGCTTCTTTTTCCCCCAGTATGTCACCAGAATGTGATTCCAGGATTTATGGGATGCCACTTAAGTTCTTCAGAAGTTTAAATAAATGTGATCATAGTTTTAAAATCAGTTAAAATTTTAACAGCTTTATTGAGATATAATGTACATACTGTACCATTCACCCATTTAAAGTGTACATTTTAGTAGTTTTTAGTACATTCACAGATATGTGCAGCTATCACCACACTCAATTTTAAAATATCTTCATACTGATGGAATCATATGATTTATGGTATTTTGTGTCTGGCATCTTTCACTTAGATAATGTTTTCAGGGTTTGTTTATATTATAGTATGTATCAGTACCCATTCCTTTTTTTATTTTTTAAATTGTGGCAAAATACACATCACGTGACATTTATTGTTTTAACTATTTTTTTTTTTTTTTTCAACGTTTATTTATTTTTGCGACAGAGAGAGACAGAGCATGAACGGGGGAGGGGCAGAGAGAGAGGGAGACACAGAATCAGAAACAGGCTCCAGGCTCCGAGCCATCAGCCCAGAGCCTGACGCGGGGCTTGAACTCACGGACCGCGAGATCGTGACCTGGCTGAAGTCGGACGCTTAACCGACTGCGCCACCCAGGCGCCCCTGTTTTAACTATTTTTAAGTGTACAGTTTTGTGGCATTAAGTATATTCACACTGTAGTGCAACTATCACCACCATCCATTTTCAAAACATTTTTCATACTCTGAAACTGCAACTGTAGCCATTAAATAATAACTGCTCATTCTCCCCTCCCTTAGGTCCTGCTAAATTTTGGTTTTTAAGGGAAGGCTTGGGTGATCTAGCAGGAAGGAGGCAAAGTACTTGGAGAATAGTGGTTAAAGAGAGCAGCAGGAAGCTGATTTAAACACTTGATCGTTTTTCAGATTCATCTGTGGCATTTGTTTAAAATGCCCATTTCTAGGACCCCTAGGCCTAATAAATTAGAATCTCAGGGGGTAGAGCTCCAAGAATCTCTCTTATTATTTTTTTTCAAACAAATTCCCCAAGAAATTTTCTTCCCACCACTGGTTCACAGACTAGTCTACAGGAAAATGTAAATCTCCCTCCTAAGGGCAGGGGGAGATGAAGTATGTAGAATGTCTAGAATAGAGAGGAAGTGAAGGAAAACAACCACCACTCTTTAAGAAGTAAGGGGTAGGGGGGACCTGGATGGCTTAGTCTCTTATGCCTCTAACTTGGTTTCGGCTCAGGTCGTGATCTCAAGGTTGTGAGATCAAGGCCTGCGGTGTTGGACTCCTTGCTGGATGTGGACCCTGCTTGAGATTCTCTCCCTTTTCCGTCCCTCCCCAGCTCGTGCTACCTCTCTCTCCCCTCCCCCACCCCCAAAAAAAACAAAACAAAAAGTGAGAGGGGAACACCAGATATTGTAGGTCACCTGGTGAAGGTCCTGTATCACGGAAAGGACTGGGCACACAAAGGTGCAGAGAAAGATTCAAACCAAAGGAGGGCCCCAGTGAGACAGTCTGCAAAGCTGTTTGTTGAATCTATTTAATGTATTGGTGATCTCTAGTATATCAACACTTCTTGTCTATACAGTACTCATGATGCGCAATACCTGGCCCATGAGTCCCGCATGCATATCTTTTGAACTGATTCATCATTTATAAAATAGCCAGTGTCATGGTAAGAAGTGGTCTTGGAATGCTGCCATAAAGCCTGCAGGTGACCTAGGAATTCAGAGGCTCCTACATTCCTGGGCCATAACCAGTAGGAGGAGGCTGACTCCCTGAGCCCTTGGTAAAGGCAGCCACCATTAGACCACCATTTGGTAGATGTGTTCTCTTCTGCCAGATGAGGTTAAGGTTGTGACAGTTTTAGGAATTTTCCTTGGAGTTTCCTGAGAAATGACAGTTACACTTTTCCTCTGGATTCTGGTCCAGAAGCCTCCAGACGCTAAATAGTGTATCAATTGCAATATAGAATTCTTGCTGCTCTTTCACTGCAAGCTACCTGAACCTCAGGCATGTGTTGTCCCTGTATGCAAGATCTGGTGAAATGCAAAGGAAACAAGTATGAGGCTCTGCTCAGAAGTGCATGATCAAAGCCGTTTGCTCATAATAATATGCTCCAGTATGTGAGTGATGGTAGATCTCCCCAGGAATTTGGAAATAAGCTAGGAGGATTACCTTTTGAACGTGGAACCTCTAAGGCTTTTCAGAGGCTAAATGGCTCCCAGACTCAGACCTGATCAAATACATCAAGAAGAATCTGCCAGTCAGTAGAGGGCACTGGTTAGTTATGAACAACAAGAAGGAGTCCCAGAGACAAATTGATAGGGCTCATTCTCCACTAGGTAGGGTAGCTTGAACCTTAGTGCTCCAAGCTGTTGACCAACTGTGTCATCCTGCCCCATTCAGGTGCCTTCAAACACTGTAGTCATATCCAATGTCCATGGGGTCATTGTGGGATCTAGGCTCCTTCCATCCAATTGCTTTGTCAGTCCCTTCTATGTTGTACTGTCCAAGAGAACTTTCTGTGATGATGGAAATGTTCTGTACCCATGCTGTAGCCACCTACCAGCAACATGTCTACCACACATGTGGTTAGTGTGACTGAGGAACTAAATTTTTAATTTAATTTTTAATTTATTTAAGTTTTTATTTTGTTATGTATGTATGTATTGTCAAGTTAGCTAGCATACAGTGTAGTCTGGGCTTCAGGAATAGATTTCCGTGATTCATCACTTTCATACCATAGCCAGTGCTCATCCCAACAAGTGCCCTCCTCAATGCTCATCACCCATTTTCACCAGCCCCACAACCCCCCACCCCCATAACCTTCAGTGTATTCTCTGTATTTAAGAGACTCTTATGGTTTGCCTCCCTTTCTGTATCTTATTTTTCCTTCCCGTCCCCATGATTATCTAAAATTCCACATATGAGTGAAATCATATATCTGTCTTTTTCTGACTTATTTTGCTTAGCATAAAATACCCTCCAGTTCCATCCATCTTGTTTCAGATGGCAGGATTTCATTCTTTTTCATTGCTGAGTAGTATTCCATTGTGTATATATACCACATCTTCTTTATCCATTCATTAGTTGATGGACGTTTGGGCTCTTTCCATACTTTGACTATTGTGGATAGTGCTGCTATAAACATTGGGGTGCATGTGCCCCTTCGAATCAGCACTCCTGTATCCTTTGGATAAATACCTAGTAGTGCAGTTGCTGGGTTGTAGGGTAGTTATTTTTAATTTTTTGTAGAACCTCCACATTGTTTTCCAGAGTGGCTGTACCAGTTTGCATTCCCATCAACAGTGCAAGAGGGTTCCCCTTTCTCCACATCTTCACCAACATCTGTTGTTTCCTGAGTTGTTCATTTTAGCCACTCTGACCAGTGTGAGGTTGTCTCATTGTGGTTTTGATTTGTATTTCCCTGATGATGAATGATGTTGAGCATCTTTTCGTGTGTCTGTTTTCCATCTGAATGTCTTCTTTGGAAAAGTGTTTGTTCATGTCTTCTGCCCATTTTTTCACTGAATTATTTGTTTTTTGGGTGTTGAGTTTGGTTAAGTTCTTTATAGATTTTTGATACTAACCCTTTATCTGATATGTCATTTGCAAATATCTTCTCCCATTTTGTTGGTTGCTTTTTAGTTTTGTTGATGGTTCCCTTTGCTGTGCAGAAGCTTTTTATCTTGATGAGGTCCCAATAGTTCATGTTTGCTTTTGTTTCTCTTGCCTCTGGAGACATGTCAAGTACGAAGTTGCTGTGGCTGAAATCAAAGAGGTTACTGCCTGTTTTCTCCTGTAGGATTTTGATGGTTTCCTGTCTCACATTTAGGTCTTTCATCCATTTTGAATTTATTTTTGTGTATGGTATAAGAAAGTGGTCCAGTTTCATTCTTCTGCATGTTGCTGTCCAGTTCTTCCAGTACCATTTGCTAAAGAGACTGTCTTTTTTCCATTGGATGTTCTTTCCTGCTTTGTCAAAGATTAGTTGGCCATCCATTCTTGATCCATTTCTGAGTTCTCTATTCTATTCCATTGGTCTGTGTGTCTGTTTTTGTGCCAATACCATGCTGTCTTCATGATTACAGCTTTATAATACGGCTAAAGTCCAGGATTGTGATGCCTCCAGCTTCGTTTTTGTTTTTGTTTTTTTTTCAACATTGACTGTTTGGGGTCTTTTGTGGTCCCATACAAATTTTATTTTATTTAAAAAAATTTTTTTTAAACATTTATTTATTTTTGAGACAGAGAGAGAGCATGAACAGGGGAGGGGCAGAGAGAGAGGGAGACACAGAATCTGAAACAGGCTCCAGGCTCTGAGCAGTCAGCACAGAGCCCGACGCAGGGCTCGAACTCACGGACTGTGAAATCATGACCTGAGCCGAAGTCGGACGCTTAACCGACTGAGCCACCCAGGTGCCCCCTCATACAAATTTTAGGATTGATTGTTCTAGCTCTGTGAAGAATGCTGGTACTATTTTGATTGGGATTGCGTTGAGTGTGTAGATTGCTTTGGGTAGTATTGACATTTTGAAAATATTTGTTCTTCCAGTCCATGGGCATGGAATGTTTTTCCATTTCTTTGTGTCTTCTTTTCTTCAATTTCTTTCATAAGCTTTCTGTAGTTTTCAGTGCACAGATCTTTTACCTCTTTGGTTAAGTTTATTCCTAGGTATTTTATGGTTACTGGTGCAATTGTAAATGGGATAGATTCCCTGATATCTCTTTCTGTTGCCTCATTATTGGTGTATAGAAATGCAACCGATTTCTGTACATTGATTTTATATCCTGCAATTTTGCTGAATTCATGTATCAGGTCTAGCAGTTTTTGGCTGAGTCTTTTGGGTTTTCTATGTAGAGTATCATGTCATC